TTGCCCAGGGTGCACCACGTGGAGGTAAGTCTACCGCACACCCCCACTATTCAAATATATAATAATTGAAAGAACCATAGTAAGAGCCAAATTATAACTACCCCAATTTGGACACGTAAACACGTTATAGTTGCTAGAAAATAAAAAAAATGTGTAAAATCTACCCGCATATACAAATCATTCTACAACCTAGGAGAAATTGAGAGCCTCTTCAGCAATAAGAAAAATGAAGAGGAACCAGGCGATTCAGACGAATGGGCCGTAAGGGGGACATAGGCGTGAGTCAACGTCCCAACTACACTTCGATTCCCAAAACCAAATGAGTCAGGAAGGGGAAGTCTATAGTTGAGAAAAAAATCTGCCAACTGTGTGTTGTGTGAAGCTGTGGTGCATCCACCGCAAAGTGCAGAAATGAAAACAGGAGCGACCATCAAACTCATCAAACGTATAGCTGACTCAGAGAGATATGTGAGAAGTTGTCAATTGTCAGACATTTAAACACCAAGCTGTCCGAATTTCGAAGGCCTTATGAACAAAGTAGTGAGACAGTTGAAACCTGCGGTATGCCTAAATCGTTGATTTTTAGAATCAAGGTCGCCGAATTTCGGGAATCGCTTATAATTACCTTGCAAAGGAAGGATTTAATCTTATTTATACGCATTAAATTTTTTACCAACATTTTTTTTCAAAAAGTACGGTGACCACACAACGATAATGAAAGCTACTAGCGGAAAATACAAGCGCATCCAATTAGAAAAAAAAAATTATGATCGATCTACATGTATCAACAACCATTCAATTAATACTAGATTCAATGTAGGAAAATTAAAAAGTAGCAAATGTATATTTAATGAGTTACAATTTAAAACTGATGCTCATATATGATTCAAACGATTAAATTAGTCCATGGTCAGGCCCTTAATAAAACAAAGCTTTTCTCTCTCTCTCTCTCTCTCTCCCCCTCCTGAAAAAAAACGTTGCTACAACAACGAATACGACTTTTGCGAGGTTGCAACGCCGTGAACAGAAGTGTCACTTAGAGACTAAATAGCATGAGGATTGTCCGGGGTAAAGCCAAAAAAACAACAACCTAAGATAAGAAGATGGAAAAAGTGAAAGTTTAGCGAAAGAGGTTGGAGTATCATTTATTAGGGTTAGGATGTAAGCATTGTTGAATCATCCGAAGAAATCACAGCGTTCTCAATTCGCCTCACGCCGTCTCAATTATCAAATATCAAGAGTTTATCCCTAATTCCTTGCTTAAAAAATTGAAAGAAATTAGTGACAAGTTCATTTTCTTCTGGATGGCTGGTCATGGTATCACAATGTAGTTATTGCGGCATCGGAGCTTTCATGACAAACTCCCTTTGAGATCACTCAATTACTTATTTCGCCCTATCCGCTTTGAGTAAGCTGCAGTTGTTGATTACTATGATTGCAAACGGGCAAAGTTGTAGCGTCATAGAAGAGTGCCATAGTGAACATCAAGATTCTCCTTCATGTAGTGGGTTTAGTATGTCTGTGCTTAGAATCAACAGCCATCGATTAAACTCAAATCAGGGTAAGCTAGATAAAGGAGGTAAATGAAGATGTTTAGCTAAAAGTAGGAAATACCGGAAATTGGAAGCGCGAAGGCGCTCAATAAAAGCTTTCACTATGGCATAGGACAATGGACCTGGCCAAGCTGAAATAGTTGTGGTGTGGAGGTAGAGACGAGTGTATGACATACATACAGCATAAACAGGATAAAGGGGTTCCGTGTCGTAGAATAAAGCTGAAAATGATATTGGGTACTGGGGTGTGGGATATACTTACTTCCACGTGGTGCGCCTTGGGCAACGTATACTCATACGGCAAAAGTAGTCCATAAGCCGGCAGTTGACTTCCCACTTCAAACTACCACGACCCGACCCTATGTCATATTCGACCCTTTCCATATTACTTACCTTACCTTTTCCCTGCCTTTGTGTCTGTCTGTCTCTTACATCTGTGAATCACTCTTCTATCCCCCCCCCTCGACATTTTCTCACTTTGATGTTCCTCCCCTCTGCGTGGGGTCAAGTATAATATTCCACATTTAATACCTTTAAGTATATATATATATATATATATATATATATATATATATATATATNCCTTGGGCAACGTATACTCATACGGCAAAAGTAGTCCATAAGCCGGCAGTTGACTTCCCACTTCAAACTACCACGACCCGACCCTATGTCATATTCGACCCTTTCCATATTACTTACCTTACCTTTTCCCTGCCTTTGTGTCTGTCT